AGTTCCACCCATCTTGCTGGCACAGGTTTCTCCCAACGCCGCTGAAGTGGTGCAACCTCCATCACCTTCTTCCAAACAAAATTGTAGATGTCTTGAATTTTAGAAGAATCATCCATGTTTGCAATACGAGTTTCGGGTTTTTCTTTCATTTTTTTCAACATCTTGTAGAATGCTTTGTTCTGTTGTGTTGAGTTTTTAATTATGAACAAATTAAAAAAAAAAATAAATAAATGAAAAATAATAATAACCAATCGTTTCCAGGAAGGTAACGAAGAAAACAGTTTTTCGATTCCCTGAATGTGCAGTGACTGATTATACCCTTGCAGGTACAGGGTCAGGCGCGTAGCTAGCCTATAAAGAATGTGGATTCAAAATAATCTAGGGGGGTCAGGGGGCATGAGAAACAATTTTCTGTGAAAAAATGTGATCTCTGGTGGATTGTCGACTGAAGAGCTTCACAGATCGAGATCTGCTTTTCCCGAAATAAATAGAAATTCATGAATGCCGCCTTCAGTTAATGATTTAAAATGGACTTCCTACTTCAAAAAGTCTTAAGATATCATCTGCTGGAATTCGCACAGCTAATTTCCTGTTGTAAGGACAATGCTTCCTGCTTTCTTCAGCCTAACTAATTCATGCTATAGTTCCACCCATCTTGCTGGCACAGGTTTCTCCCAACGCCGCTGAAGTGGTGCAACCTCCATCAGCTTCTTCCAAACAAAATTGTAGATGTCTTGAATTTTAGAAGAATCATCCATGTTTGCAATACGAGTTTCGGGTTTTTCTTTCAATTTTTTCAACATCTTGTAGAATGCTTTGTTCTGTTGTGTTGAGTTTTTAATTATGAACAAATTAAAAAAAAAATAAATAAATGAAAAATAATAATAACCAATCGTTTCCAGGAAGGTAACGAAGAAAACAGTTTTTCGATTCCCTGAATGTGCAGTGACTGATTATACCCTTGCAGGTACAGGGTCAGGCGCGTAGCTAGCCTATAAAGAATGTGGATTCAAAATAATCTAGGGGGGTCAGGGGGCTTGAGAAACAATTTTCTGTGAAAAAATGTGATCCTCTGGTGGATTGTCGACTGAAGAGCTTCACAGATCGAGATCTGCTTTTCCCGAAATAAATAGAAAATCATGAATGCCGCCTTCAGTTAATGATTTAAAATGGACTTCCTACTTCAAAAAGTCTTAAGATATCATCTGCTGGAATTCGCACAGCTAATTTCCTGTTGTAAGGACAATGCTTCCTGCTTTCTTCAGCCTAACTAATTCATGCTATAGTTCCACCCATCTTGCTGGCACAGGTTTCTCCCAACGCCGCTGAAGTGGTGCAACCTCCATCAGCTTCTTCCAAACAAAATTGTAGATGTCTTGAATTTTAGAAGAATCATCCATGTTTGCAATACGAGTTTCGGGTTTTTCTTTCAATTTTTTCAACATCTTGTAGAATGCTTTGTTCTGTTGTGTTGAGTTTTTAATTATGAACAAATTAAAAAAAAAAAATAAATAAATGAAAAATAATAATAACCAATCGTTTCCAGGAAGGTAACGAAGAAAACAGTTTTTCGATTCCCTGAATGTGCAGTGACTGATTATACCCTTGCAGGTACAGGGTCAGGCGCGTAGCTAGCCTATAAAGAATGTGGATTCAAAATAATCTAGGGGGGTCAGGGGGCATGAGAAACAATTTTCTGTGAAAAAATGTGATCTCTGGTGGATTGTCGACTGAAGAGCTTCACAGATCGAGATCTGCTTTTCCCGAAATAAATAGAAATTCATGAATGCCGCCTTCAGTTAATGATTTAAAATGGACTTCCTACTTCAAAAAGTCTTAAGATATCATCTGCTGGAATTCGCACAGCTAATTTCCTGTTGTAAGGACAATGCTTCCTGCTTTCTTCAGCCTAACTAATTCATGCTATAGTTCCACCCATCTTGCTGGCACAGGTTTCTCCCAACGCCGCTGAAGTGGTGCAACCTCCATCAGCTTCTTCCAAACAAAATTGTAGATGTCTTGAATTTTAGAAGAATCATCCATGTTTGCAATACGAGTTTCGGGTTTTTCTTTCAATTTTTTCAACATCTTGTAGAATGCTTTGTTCTGTTGTGTTGAGTTTTTAATTATGAACAAATTAAAAAAAAAAAATAAATAAATGAAAAATAATAATAACCAATCGTTTCCAGGAAGGTAACGAAGAAAACAGTTTTTCGATTCCCTGAATGTGCAGTGACTGATTATACCCTTGCAGGTACAGGGTCAGGCGCGTAGCTAGCCTATAAAGAATGTGGATTCAAAATAATCTAGGGGGGTCAGGGGGCATGAGAAACAATTTTCTGTGAAAAAATGTGATCTCTGGTGGATTGTCGACTGAAGAGCTTCACAGATCGAGATCTGCTTTTCCCGAAATAAATAGAAATTCATGAATGCCGCCTTCAGTTAATGATTTAAAATGGACTTCCTACTTCAAAAAGTCTTAAGATATCATCTGCTGGAATTCGCACAGCTAATTTCCTGTTGTAAGGACAATGCTTCCTGCTTTCTTCAGCCTAACTAATTCATGCTATAGTTCCACCCATCTTGCTGGCACAGGTTTCTCCCAACGCCGCTGAAGTGGTGCAACCTCCATCAGCTTCTTCCAAACAAAATTGTAGATGTCTTGAATTTTAGAAGAATCATCCATGTTTGCAATACGAGTTTCGGGTTTTTCTTTCAATTTTTTCAACATCTTGTAGAATGCTTTGTTCTGTTGTGTTGAGTTTTTAATTATGAACAAATTAAAAAAAAAATAAATAAATGAAAAATAATAATAACCAATCGTTTCCAGGAAGGTAACGAAGAAAACAGTTTTTCGATTCCCTGAATGTGCAGTGACTGATTATACCCTTGCAGGTACAGGGTCAGGCGCGTAGCTAGCCTATAAAGAATGTGGATTCAAAATAATCTAGGGGGGTCAGGGGGCTTGAGAAACAATTTTCTGTGAAAAAATGTGATCCTCTGGTGGATTGTCGACTGAAGAGCTTCACAGATCGAGATCTGCTTTTCCCGAAATAAATAGAAAATCATGAATGCCGCCTTCAGTTAATGATTTAAAATGGACTTCCTACTTCAAAAAGTCTTAAGATATCATCTGCTGGAATTCGCACAGCTAATTTCCTGTTGTAAGGACAATGCTTCCTGCTTTCTTCAGCCTAACTAATTCATGCTATAGTTCCACCCATCTTGCTGGCACAGGTTTCTCCCAACGCCGCTGAAGTGGTGCAACCTCCATCAGCTTCTTCCAAACAAAATTGTAGATGTCTTGAATTTTAGAAGAATCATCCATGTTTGCAATACGAGTTTCGGGTTTTTCTTTCAATTTTTTCAACATCTTGTAGAATGCTTTGTTCTGTTGTGTTGAGTTTTTAATTATGAACAAATTAAAAAAAAAATAAATAAATGAAAAATAATAATAACCAATCGTTTCCAGGAAGGTAACGAAGAAAACAGTTTTTCGATTCCCTGAATGTGCAGTGACTGATTATACCCTTGCAGGTACAGGGTCAGGCGCGTAGCTAGCCTATAAAGAATGTGGATTCAAAATAATCTAGGGGGGTCAGGGGGCATGAGAAACAATTTTCTGTGAAAAAATGTGATCTCTGGTGGATTGTCGACTGAAGAGCTTCACAGATCGAGATCTGCTTTTCCCGAAATAAATAGAAATTCATGAATGCCGCCTTCAGTTAATGATTTAAAATGGACTTCCTACTTCAAAAAGTCTTAAGATATCATCTGCTGGAATTCGCACAGCTAATTTCCTGTTGTAAGGACAATGCTTCCTGCTTTCTTCAGCCTAACTAATTCATGCTATAGTTCCACCCATCTTGCTGGCACAGGTTTCTCCCAACGCCGCTGAAGTGGTGCAACCTCCATCAGCTTCTTCCAAACAAAATTGTAGATGTCTTGAATTTTAGAAGAATCATCCATGTTTGCAATACGAGTTTCGGGTTTTTCTTTCAATTTTTTCAACATCTTGTAGAATGCTTTGTTCTGTTGTGTTGAGTTTTTAATTATGAACAAATTAAAAAAAAAATAAATAAATGAAAAATAATAATAACCAATCGTTTCCAGGAAGGTAACGAAGAAAACAGTTTTTCGATTCCCTGAATGTGCAGTGACTGATTATACCCTTGCAGGTACAGGGTCAGGCGCGTAGCTAGCCTATAAAGAATGTGGATTCAAAATAATCTAGGGGGGTCAGGGGGCATGAGAAACAATTTTCTGTGAAAAAATGTGATCTCTGGTGGATTGTCGACTGAAGAGCTTCACAGATCGAGATCTGCTTTTCCCGAAATAAATAGAAATTCATGAATGCCGCCTTCAGTTAATGATTTAAAATGGACTTCCTACTTCAAAAAGTCTTAAGATATCATCTGCTGGAATTCGCACAGCTAATTTCCTGTTGTAAGGACAATGCTTCCTGCTTTCTTCAGCCTAACTAATTCATGCTATAGTTCCACCCATCTTGCTGGCACAGGTTTCTCCCAACGCCGCTGAAGTGGTGCAACCTCCATCAGCTTCTTCCAAACAAAATTGTAGATGTCTTGAATTTTAGAAGAATCATCCATGTTTGCAATACGAGTTTCGGGTTTTTCTTTCAATTTTTTCAACATCTTGTAGAATGCTTTGTTCTGTTGTGTTGAGTTTTTAATTATGAACAAATTAAAAAAAAAATAAATAAATGAAAAATAATAATAACCAATCGTTTCCAGGAAGGTAACGAAGAAAACAGTTTTTCGATTCCCTGAATGTGCAGTGACTGATTATACCCTTGCAGGTACAGGGTCAGGCGCGTAGCTAGCCTATAAAGAATGTGGATTCAAACTGAAAATTTTGAAATAAATGGTGCAATTTGGTGCGGCCTCCGGAGAGCTTTCTTGACCAACGAAAATCCATTTATTTTAGCATAAAAATGGAGATAATAGCTTTACTTTCGTTTATTTCAACTAGTCTACATTTCACAGCAAGTCTAACTTGCGGCCTTTGCTGGCCGCAAACTCGTTAATGATAATATCAATATCTATTTCCATGTGTCTGTAGGCGTGCAACAGGGCTAGTCCAGACTTCCGTTCTGTGAGCATCGTTGATCTCATGTAGTTTTTCAGGCGTCTCATGATACTAAACTGCCTCTCGGCGGTAGCGGTAGACACTGGCATCGTAATTAGTACAACTAGACAGGTGAAGATGTCTGGATACAGAGTCTTGTTCGTAGCCTTCAATGTGTCAGTAAGATTTGAGGGTTTTGTCCCCTCCAGCTCCCATCTTACTTTCCATCGAGAAACCTCATTTCGGAAGGCTTCCCGATCCCCACTGAGGTCACTCTCATACTCCTGGAAGATGGAATCCTCGTGATCTCGGCTGAGCTCAGGAAGAAGGCTTGGGATGAGATATTGAGCCTTAAACCTCTCATTGCTGGATACAAGACGGTCTTCTAGTTCCACAACTAGATGATCAAGAAATGGATAGAACAATGCTCTTTTCCAGTATTCCGAAACAGAGTCGGCAGGCACGTTGCCACGGTGCTGTTGGCGTCGAGCTGTTCTAGGCTTTGAAGGCACGACTCCTTGGTCTTCTGCCATGGCAACTGCTTTGTCGTAAAGCCCATCCCACACAGCATCATCGGCTCTCTCTGCACGAAATGTGGCTATAAGAACTCGACTCTCCTTGGCTGCTTCGATCAAGTCGATATTCTGCTTCTGTAGCAGCTTGTTTAGAGGCATAACACCCTGGAGGACGAATTCAACCACAACTAGAGAGATGATGAAGTCGAACCCAAGGATACTGCATCTGTAGCTCCGTGCTTTTGAGTCTCCCTCTCGTTCTAGCACCTCCAGTGCACTTACAATTGATGTGTATGCAGCTTTGAAAGTGTAAAGTGCGTCAGCCCGACTAGCCCATCGCGTCTCGCACAGACTTTGAAGACGTGTTCTCTTCTGCATCTCTTCCTGTTCCACGGGATCGTTGCCAAGCTCCTCTTTGAAAGCTAAAAAACGTTTGGCAGAGTACTTGAAAGCAAATCCGATTTGTTGTACTGTGTCCAACAAGTTTCTGACGAGTGCCTCTTTACAGGCATACACAATTGACAAATTAAGGCTATGGGCTTTGCAGTGCACATACATTGCTTGGGGAACTACTTGCTGGACCCGAGCTTGCACACCTCGATGACAACCAGACATATTACTGGCCCCATCATACCCTTGTCCCCTCATCTTGGAGATGTCTAATCCTGCGTCCCGCTGCCCCTCAATAAACTTGTTAAAAAGAGCCTCTCCTGTTGTAGATTCTGCTTGCACAAAGCCCACAAAGTCTTCACGCACGTCCTGTTCAGTTTCAGAATAATATCTTACACACATAGCAATTTGTTCCATAGTGCTCGCGTCAGTAGCTTCATCTGCAAGAAATGAATAACAAATAGCATCGTTGCACTACTGAACTATCTTGCCTTTTATGTTATTTCCCAACAAAGTGATTAATTCATTTTGGATCATAGCGAAGTGTAAGTAACCTTAGATTTAGAGGACAGGTGCGTTTTCAGGATTTCATCCCTGTTGGCCTTGTCTTTCAACAGGACAGTAAAGTTACTATTGTTGTCATCATGACCTCTAAGTGGAATATTTTGTCGACCGCACAGAATGATGACCTCTACAACAGATCTAAGCACCTGTCTATTTTTAGCAACAGTTTCCACTTTGTTTCTCGACAGTTGTGCTGTAATGCTTGCTTGTTTCCCTTCGATGATTTTCATAAAACCACTAGCACTAGCGCAGCAGCTTTGATGACTCGAACCAGGCTCGGTATGTCTCTTGATGTACTTTCCAAGGTTAGACCATTTTGATACTGGGGTATTGATGAATGTTTTCTCCTTTGGAGATGAAGCACCAAACAAAATACAGGGAGCACAATACACTGAATTCTCGGAAACTGAATATCGAAGCCAGTCATACTTCTCTAGCCAATCTACCGAGAACTGACGCTTCGTTCCATACTCAATACTGAAATAATAAAATAAAGAAATAGTGTACGAACTTGAAATGGAACAATTTTGCAACCAAATACATAGAAATCCGGAAAGCAGGGAAGCAAATGATTCCATTTTAATAGTATATATCTAGTATCTTACTAGTATACTTATGATACTAGTACTTCAATAACGTTATCAGATATATGAGTATATTCACTATACTTTATTCGTCTTAATTATATAGTAAACATGTCATAGCGCGCTAATATAATTATAATGGAACCAAACATCGAACAAGTGGAAGAAGCAGACCGTTTACAATCGAGTGGTAAGAGACGGGCTTGCGTCTATTTTCCCACATGTACCACTCACAAAAAGACCTCAACATAAACCATCGATTTTGAGACCTCGGGACTGTGTTTAGAGATTTTAACGGTATTTTTCTATACAATACTGGTTGACTAAACTACAATTTTCTATTGATCTGCAACCGTTATAACTTCACATCTTTAAATCAAATGAATCAGAATCAGTTTACCTTGACGGAAACTTAAAAGTTTTGGCCCACTCTTTGTTGTTTTGCAGCACTAACACATTTATCGAGTCATCTGAAGCCTTTGTTAACCTTGCTGGATCAGGATACAAGTCATCGGGACTGTACGCAATCCCCACGAGCTCATCTTTATCTAAAGTCATAGGTTCAGGACCCTCCTTCACACCAGACGTACCGGGCGCTATAAATATACATATGGAATACATATGACGATACTTGGACAAGTTTTTGGTGCATAAAATTGACTATAGAATCAATTTGATTTCGAATATTTAAAGCAGGGATTGCAATGAATGTAAAAGTTTGAAATCATACTGTCCTTGAATCTTGAAAAGTTTAAACAAAATTAAAAGTTACAATTGTTGTCGTTATTAACTATACATGTATAACTTAACATGTACTGACTATTGTTTGTAGCTTTTTATGTTAAAAGCATGTTAAAGTAAACATACATGTACTAGGCTCGGTTGCATCGGTGCCTTTTTCAGACAGCCCAGTTTTTGGACCTACGCTGAAGACGAGCGTTGTGTTTACCAGAAATGTTTTTTTCATAAAAATTCCATGTATCAATATAACTAATCTACCAAGAAGGAACTATTTCAAAAATGCAAAGTAATACGACATATGCACCAGAATTTTTCACATTTGCATCATGAATTCACTGATTCAGGTTGGTTAGTTCAAAATGTTGTCAGTCTCGCTAGAATCGGTTCACAGACATGGTCAAACATGTCATTACTCAACAAACAGACCGAAACAAATAAACACTAGGCATACATAGTAACATTTTAGTTATAATTACCTCTTTTCTATCGCTGATTCTGCTGATGACTTCTTTCAGAACTCGATGTAAACATTTGTTTACATTTCGAAAATACGGCGCGTGCAAACTTCCGACTTTGAAGAGCTGCAAAGGCCGACAACTTTTCAAAAAAATACTACGGTATGGTGTACGATTTAGGCTATATGATTTATAAAGTATTCAGTGTGGTAATTATCAGATCTGGCGAACGCGGCTGAATTTCAAACCACATTTTTTTTACTAAAAAAAATTTTTTTTGTCAAAATAATGTGGATTCAGCTGCGTACTCGCGTATAGGCAGCTACGCGCCTGAGGGTGTGGCCCAATCGAGTACAAGAAAGTCGTTATTTCCTTTTCATCTCTTCTTTTATTCAGTACAAACAGTCGGTCATGGCTTTTTGTTAGAGATGGTGCTCCTTTCTCCAGCGCTCCCGGCCTTCTCTGACAAACCCCAATATCTGGCGTCTATCTATCCCCACTGCCGGAATGACCGTTGATCAAACCCCACTCAGCCTATGTATCTTGAATCATGAATCTACGCTGATGTTAGCTAAATTGCTTAAAGTGAAGTGAGTAAACTTCTTTGTTGAGAATGAAGAGTGGTGAAGTGTTGAGTGGAGATGAAGAAATCCAAACGCTGTTCAGGTTGATGTAAATTTATTGTGTGTAGACATGGAGAGGTGGTACACTCGCATGCCTTCAGGAACCGAAGCCAACTGGCTAGAAACCTAGTCGTATTTATACTAAAATTCGTAGACATTGATAATCTAATATTACATATTTGCTAACAAGAAGTGGATAATACATGAGTTATTTACACGGTCTAATAGACACACATAGTGGTAGATTAGGTTGTTTACGACAAGCTAAGGTTTTGCTGACCAGTCCTGCAGACGGTATTGGTAAGCTTACCTTATTCCGTAAATAACCAGGGAGCGAATGTATACTGGACATGTGTGATAGCTTATTAACAGAAAGTATGTTCTGGCTACTGGACAACACGTCATTTATTCACAAGTCTACAAGTGTCATTAATAGATTAAGCTGTCTCCTTCTGGCATTTAAATTACGATTAGAAGTCTGACTTATGTCTAGTAGAATACAGTTTTGGATAGTTTAATTTAAATTACATATTAACTTTTAATAGTTCATTCGTCCCTTTGTATAAAATTGATTTCAAATTAGTTATAATTTTGACATCATCTATGAAAATATTAATAGTTTGTTACGTCCCTGTGTAATAAAACCATGAATAACCATGAAACTTGCTTGTTGACGATGTACATTTTGATAAAAAACGAAGAGAAAAAAAATCAAGTGGATAGTAAGGCTTTCGCTCGAATTTGATAAATTTCAATTATCGACAATGTTTTCATTGTGCTGTGTTACAATTAATTAATGAAAAAAATATATAAATATACTTAGTTACGACGTACCACCGTCTGTTATACTAAGTCATGACGTCACGCTCACAATAAGGCTATGACTAGTACAATTGATGAGAAAATGAAATAAAATCAGAAAGTTCCTTATCATTAAGTTATTGATATATAAATGTATCGGGAATGTTTCATCCGCATAGAAATATGTATTTGTGTAAATATGTCTTATGAGTAATGTTACACAACACAGAAGTCGTTTTTTAAGTTTGATCGTATAGTGTTTTAATTAGTAATGTCCATTGTCGTTAAAAAGTCTCTCTGTAACCTTAGCCAACACGGCCCAAAAAGTCTCTCAGTAACCTTAGCCAACACGGCCCACTATGGTACTTTGACCCCTCGCTCTCCCACTCTCAGTCTTTACTCCTTGAGCGTTCGTTCTGGACTCCCCCTTAGACCCTAGTCTGATCATATTATATCCCCTAAAACATCGTGAGAACAGAGAGAAGAACAGATGCCTAATTGCTGTAATTGCTTCAATTACTGATCACTTTTTAAAGTTATATGGTATTTTAACCCCACTCGGACTCATGGAATTAGAATCTAATAAACAATTTGACCGTTGGTCTTGTTACGTTGTCACTGTTCTCCATTGTAATAGAGATTGAAAACCTATTTCCCTGATTAACTATCAACCATCCCTCCCAGATATTGAGATTGATGATCACCTAGGTCCGTTACAAAACAACTTAATAGGTACCTAAATATGAGACAAATTAGAAACTATTCCTATTGATATAATGGGCCCTCTCTCTGTTCAACACATACAACATTAACCAATACACGAATAAAATATACATAATATAATCCCTACACCCAAAGATACCAATATACCAATATATTTCATTTATAAACTCTACTAATTAGGTGATTAATTAGTTGTATGAAAATTAAAGCCATTTTGTCACAGTAACGTTTCATATGAATATTGTGCGTGTGCAACCACGTCACTGACTTTGACTCTGACATAAAATGGTAGAGTTTAAACATTTAAATCCTCGTGTAATATCACGTAGGCGAAACTCTCCAAATAGTATGTGAATAGAAGTTGTGTGAATACGTTGAAAACATAATTGATTTGGAACTCTCTAAGGATAATCATATATAAAACAGCACAATTTGTAACATTTCAAGATAACATTTCAAAAATAAAAAACAGATCATTGAGATCTGATAAAACTAGTAATTGAAAACTTTTGTAAATCATGACATAGATATTGTACGAGGTCAATATAATATTTAGATATAACAACTTACATGTAATACATGCAATTTTACAATATTTGCAATAGAATGAACATAAAAGTATTGTGTACTAATGAAGAACTGAGAACGAAAGGCAATAATAAATTGATATTACAGTTATTATATGGATAGTACAGTTCTAAATATTAATAAGACAGTTCAATCACTCCACAAGTTGATAGTTCCACACGGCGAAGGTTCGAAATCACCAGTCTTGAGGAAGAGGCCAAATAAAAGTAATGTTCATCACGTGATGAGTCTTGTAAATATGAAAATGACGAAAAGTTCTTGGTTGACGTACTACCGTCTAGTTATCCAAGACGTGATATCTCGCACAAAAAGGCTGATACAAACGATGAAGAGTTAAT